GCCGAGACCGGTTCGGCTCAGTCGATGGAGCGTCGGCCTGCGGACTGGGGGGTCAGGGGTTCGATTCCGGTCGGGGGCATGTACCTGGGTTGCGGGCACATCCCCGGTGAGAGGTGTGCGGGAGGCAGCTGGTTGATGTTTCTCTCTCGTCGATGTTTCTGGCTCTCTATCTCTCTCCCTTCCTCTCTGTAAAAAATCAATAAAATACATTTTTAAAAAATGTAAAAAAATAAAACAATTGTGGAATCAACAGTTTATTCTGTGTTGACATGTAAATACATGGAAAACTAGACTTGAAAATTAGTTTCGACAATTCTATCTAGCAAGAGTCCTTCAGCATCCCCAGTCCCTGTCGCACGCCCCAAGCTCCTCCTCCTCCCTCTGAGGGAGGCTGAGAAAGCCTTGCTCCCAGGACCTCGCACTGGGCATGTCCCTTTAGTTAGTACCTGAGGAATTAAAGTGTGGCTTCCTTGTTTCTAACTATCCCTCTCCCTTCCTCTCTGAAAAAAATATCAATAAAATATATATTTTTTGAAAAGCCCTAACCCGTTTGGCTCAATGGATAGAGCGTCGGTCTGCAGACTGAAGGGTCCCAGGTTCAATTCTGGTCAAGGGCATGTACCTTGGTTGTGGGCACATCCCCAGCAGGGGGTGTGCAGGAGGCAGCTGATGGATGTTTCTCTCTCATCGATGTTTCTAACTATCCCTCTCCCTCTCTGTAAAAAAAATCAATAAAATGTATTTTAAAAAGTGGCTTCCTGGGAGGAAGGAGGTGAGGGCCATCCCAATGCTAGTGGGAAACTGAGGAGCAAGGCAGCGGCCACTCCCCGTCAGGGTCCCGCTGTGACCATGCCCGCAGGACCGTTTACCCACAGGGGAGGAGTCCAAGGGCACACTGTTGGGAAGCCCCACAATCAAGGTCGGGTGATCCGACCTCCTAGTCGAATATTAGATGGAGAGAATTTTCTGGTGCCATCCAAGTCCTGACACAGTGAGAGCAGCAGTGCCCTGCCGATGGCAGCATATGCCCCTACACCAAGTGTGCTTTCTGGGAGGGACCAGTACCTTTCAGGTTTGCCTTTGGTGCACCACACTGTCTCCGGGTGCACACTTCACACAGCAGCTTGTTGGCATCTCGGAGCTTCTCGTTCTGGGTGAACTGGTATAAGCAGTGCTGGATGGAGCACTCGTCAGCACTGGACGCATCCCTGTTCGCAAGGGTACAGAAGGCAGTTTCTGGATCTTGGCCCACACACTCGTACAGTGTGGTCCCGGGAGCGGGGCTACCGTTCAGAATCTCCAGACGGATGTCATCGGGGTGAAGAGCAGCATCCAAGTGCAGGTTCTGGAAACCCCTAGAAATGTCCACTTCCCCACCACCCCCCACATCCAGGCAGGCACCGTTCAAACTCCCGGGACAGTCAGTGGGAGAAGATGATAAAACCTCCAGGTCGTTATCTACACTGACACTTTTCACATCTACGTCCTCTGTGAATTTTTGATTGTCAGTTACATTTCCTATCATCTTCTCTTGGCCATTCAAGTCATTCTGATTAACACAATATTCTTTATTTATAACTTCCTCTTGTGAGATATGGTCGGATTTAATATCCACTTCTCCCTCAACTGACATTTCAGTCTCACATTCATCATCTTCAAGATGGCCCAAGGCACAGACATCATTTAAATGAAGAACTTTTCCTTGAATTTTTTGTTGCCTTCGCTGGTTCTGTGTAAAAAGCATAAAACATTTTTTTAAAAATTGAGAGAGAGAAAGAGAAAGAGCATACATGTACCACATCAGGTTCTCTTGCTTATTCATCAAAAATAAAGAAGTTGATAAGGAAGAATTTATTCCCAAAACTGATCCTAAGAGTTCCTTTACTATCAGGGATCAAATAAGTTTTGAAGAAAAGGTTTTTGATTGAAAGCAGGAATAAACTATCACCAGTCAGCAAACCACCATCACACTAGGGCAAATAAAAATGTGCAGGATGTTCTAAGAGGAGTGCTCTGGACAGAGCAGTAGACTGTTATACGCTCTAGTGACTTTACACAAAGCATGTCAAACTCGCGGCCCACAACGAATATTTTTGCAGCCCAGCCAATATAACGAACGATATGTAAGAAACGTTTTAATAAAAATTTTGTAACTTAATTTTTAAAATATCCTGTTATACATAATTATAAATAACTATAACGTTCGCTAATGCCTAGTCATTATAATCGTGTTGCATTCATTTCCCTTACACACTGTATGCGCAGGTGCACTGTTTCCACTAATACCAGCTGCCGATATTTTAGCAGCCGGTGGCCACGTCATTCATCTTGGGTTGACTTGTGTGGTGTGTGCAACAGGAAATATTTTGCTTTCAGAGAAAATAAAAATAGATTTATTTGTGTTACGCTTATTAATTTGTGCAGTTATTCAGTGTCTGGTAGGTTAATGTTCAAGAAAAATATTAATTTATTTCAGCCCTTTGTATTCAGCATGACTCTATTGAACTAAAGCTACGTTCCTACAAAAACTGAAGCTTTTGTTATTTTGCGGCCATGTAAACGTAAATCTTACATGGCCCGTGTGAGCCTTTGCGTTTGACAGGCTTGCTTTACACACACAACTCAGGCTGGTTTCCCTGAGGAGACAGGGCTGCTGTGGACAGAGAGACGGAGGGAAACATTCAGGAAACAAATGTTCCCAAGTCAGGGGAGAAGCAAGGAAGCCTGTGTACAGAGGACTGTCCATTTGCAGCCTATTTCCAGGCGGAGGGACAAAGGCCTTTATTTCATCGAGAGTCCCGCCTGAAGACAGGTCACCATCTGGCGGTAACTGAGGACAGGCCTGGGAGGCTAATGTGAACAGAGGGGCAGAAGGGAGCACAGGACACGAACGGTCTCCCAGGTGATTCCGTAAGAACAGTCACACCTGAAAGAAAGATGTGACACACATGACGTATTGTAGAACTGTACCCTTTAGACCTATATAATTTCATTAACCAATGTCACCTCAATAAGTTCAATTAGAAAAAATAAAAATGGGGAAAGAACATAAGTGAATAAATGAAACACAAATGACAAACATAAAAATCTGCTGAACTTCACTTATATTAAAATAAGTGGAAAATAAGCTGCAGTAAGTTACCATATGTCGCCATCAGACGGGCAGAAATCTAGACGCCTGAGAGCACTGTTGTTGAGGACAAGGAGAAAACGCAAGTCTCAGATGTTGCCGGTGGGAATATAAACTGGTACAACCTGCCTGGCTGGTGTGGCTCAGAGGCTGAGCTCGACCTGTGAACCAGGAGGTCAGCGTTTACTTCCCGGTCAGGGCACAGGCCCGGGTTGCGGGCTCGATCCCCAGTGTGGGACGTGTAGGAGGCAGCCAATCAATAATACTCTCATCATTGATGTTTCTCTCTCTCCCCCTCTCCCTTCCTCTTTCTTAAATCAATAAAAATATTTTAAAAACAAATGTTTGTGTCCTAAATGGAAAGACCAAGAATCTAATAAAGTAGAAACAAACAAAAAACAAAGTCCAAAACCATGTGCATAATTTCTAAAAGGAGATAAAAACATCCTTGTATTTGATCATATTTTCCAAAAGAAACTCCAGAGAACACATGAGCTTGTGAAGTGGTTTTGAGTATCATAAAAGGACGGGGGTCAAGAGGACCTGTACACATGAATGTATTTTTAAAGTCTGGATGTCAATGTTATTTGAATGAATAACTCAAAAACGTTAAAAATGGACAAAAACTTTTTTAAAGTTGTCCCTTTTCTTGGCATCTACTGGAAGAGATTTCCAGCGGAGAGCACGCAGGCTATAAAACGAGGCCTGTCCACCACGTCCATTGACTCACACGCAGTCCTTCAAATGGGAAACTAGAGGAGTGGCCTTCCCCGCAGTGACTCACCTTGGCTTGCTTTTTGGCTTGCTTCTTTGCTTTTTTCTGCAAGTGCTTGCTTATTCCTGGCGGGGTATCGTTTCTCTCTTTTATGTAAGTGTCGTTATCTTCTTCCTCGCTGTCTTTATCTTCGTTCTCCATTGTCTTTTTCAGATTTTTATCATTTATACTTTTCTTACCACTCTTAAAATATGGGGGGAAAATGGGCCAAAAATAAAATTTCACAACTACTATTTGGTGAAGAGACTTCATGTTACATAAATGTTTTTCTACTCCTATTTTACAGTAATTGCTTTCCCACAATGTTTGAAAATATACCCGGGACAAAATTTGTTCATCTCAAATACTAAACAGCACTCTTCGTATCCTGACAAAACAAGCAAACCCACAGTAAGAAAGGGAAGTCCACAGGGAAGGGCGACAGAAGGCACGCAGCCACTGCATTCGACACAGGCGGCAGCCCGATGGGGCCTGTCCACTTCCAAGTGCACTTTTTGTCCCCATCATCTCCACATCCCAATATAGGTGTTTCTTTTTATTCATTTTTTTCTTTGTGTGGAAATGACAGTTTTGGGGAAAGAGAAAATAAATTTGTAAGACTTTAATCACTACGTAACAGTGATTAAAAGGACCCCTGATTCATATTGAGTAATGATTTATCCAAAATTCATACCATGTTTTCTTTTTTCCTACTACTACTAGAAACCAAATTCATATGGCTTAAAACTGAGATAGTCTTTATTAACACCTATGAACTTAGGACTGTAAGGGATTTGTGGATAGTTTTAAATAATGAAAATAAATAACTTTTAGTATGAAGAAAATACATCTTTACATATAAACTAACCAATTTAACTATAAAGAATTCCAACCACAGTCCCCTCTTTTTTTTGTAAAAAAAAAAAAAGTATTTGCCAAATCCGGTTTGGCTCAGTGGATAGAGCGTCGGCTTGTGGACTGAGGGGTCCCGGGTTCGGTTCCGGTCAAGAGCATGTGCCTGGGTTGCGGGCATGTCCCCAGTGGGAGATGTGCAGGAGGCAGCTGATCGATGTTTCTCTCTCTTCGATGTTTCTAGCTCTCTATCTCTCTCCCTTCCTCTCTGTGGAAAATCAATAAAATATATTTTAAAAAAAAAGTATTTACCCTATTCTTCATTCAACTATTTAAGAAAAATTCTTCACGGGCTAGTGATATACACACTTGGAAAAGGTGACAAGGCTCCCCCATAAAATCTAAACAGGAAAAAGATCTACTTAAATAAAATGAACTCAATAGTCTTACCTGATCATCTAAAACTGGTAGAGACAAGTCAAGGAAAGACTCATGAACCAAGGAGACCTTAACCAACCAAAAAAGAAAACGTAAAAGGAAGGAAAAGATTCACTGTAAACATCAGAGTCAGATTGGGGGCGGGGGCCTAAGCTTTGAAAAATACAACACTGAGAACTGTGGGTCAGGGAAGCAAAACACGTGAATAACTTCTTCCAACATCAAGAGGCCCCGTGCCAGCAGCGAACGGCACCTGGTGGCCCCGAGGGCGGCTGTGGCGCAGCCTGTTTGAAAGCACAGCTGCAGGCTGCTTGGCAGTGAGTCCCCAGCACGACGCACTCACCGTTCTGCACTCGTCACACATGATTGTGCTCGTGAGCTCCCCACCGAAGATGCGGTCCACAAAACTCGGCACTGATTTTTTCTTCTCGTAATCTGTAAGGGGGAGATGTGTCCATTACACTTACAAAATTCATGGAACACACTACAACTTCTTAACCTCTCTAGCCCTAAAATTTTACTTCTTAATTTCCTATCTTAGACTTGTCTTTCTCTATTCATAAAATTACCATGATTTTATTTTTTTAAATATATTTTATTGATTTTTTACAGAGAGGAAGGGAGATAGAGAGTTAGAAACATCGATCAGCTGCCTCCTGCACATCTCCCACTAGGGATATGCCTGCAACCAAGGCACATGCCCTTGACCGGAATCGAACCCGGGACCCTTCAGTCCGCAGGCCGACGCTCCATCCACTGAGCCACACCGGCCAGGGCCGTGATTTTATTTTTATGCTATAATCAGCGGCATATACTGCACTTTTGAGCGCAACAAATTCCGCGCTGTCACATCTCGTGAGAAGAAAAAGTTCTCATCCAAGACCTAGTCAGTGGAGAACAAACTGTGCAAGGCAGGGAGACGTTCTGTTTATCTGTCTACACAGAGAAGCGAGCAGGTCTCACACTCGGCAGCAAGCTGGGGCAACAATGCACGTCACCTGCTTTCTGGTGGCTAAGACTGAGTTCCACTTACAGCCAGAGCAAAACCAACAAAGAAAAACCTTCAGGAAAATGTTTCAGACAAAATTCTTTTATTTTCCTATGTTCCAGAAATAATCTTGATAAATTTAGTATAAGGGAACATAATTTTACTACCTGGTCACCCCTTTTTCTAAATAGATGGAATTTACATACTTTATTCAAATAGCAGATGTCAATTTATACAGAAACACATGTTGTGACAGATAGTGACAGCAGGAGAGAGTCCTTCTGTGACCAGCCAGGCCCTAAGGGGCACCACAGAGGCAGAGAGTTGCTATCTGTTGATTCTAAATTGTGGTTTACAATACAGTAGCCACTGGTCTTGCGGGCATTTAAATTAAATTAATTAAAATTAAGTAAAAATAAAGATGTAGCTCCTCGGTTGCACCAACCCCATTTCCGGGACTCAGCACCCAGCGGGGGCGACTGTGGCGACAGGAGGCAGAGAAGAGTCCCGACCTCACAGAGCCCCCGAGACAGACCGGTGCCAGGTCGCTGCCACACAACAGTCAGAGCGACGTTGGCTCCATGATAATAAACCAGCTAATGCCAACTCACACAAGCGTACTTCACTGATTACTGCTAACTAGAAGTTTAAGCTTTTGAAAAATCAAATTGTGATGTCATCTTAGCTCTATCTTTGTAAATGTCACTATAACATTGCATAAAAAGAATACATCAGAAATTTAATTTCTGTAAAATATCCATCTTTGAAGTATTGAACAAGTTTTAAAGTCAATGGTGACAAAGAGAAAGTATATGTTAATAACCGGATGCGAAGTACATGTGCAGGCATCTGCACCTAAGGGCAGAGGAACTCAACGACAGTGGTTTAGTTCAAAAAGTCAAACATTACCTTTAACTTTATTTTTTAGTTCTTCATCCAATTTTTCAGTAGAATTACCAAATGCTTTAAGAATTCCTTTACTCACTCTCTAAAAGTAATAAAATGAATATATGCATACTATTAAATTTAAAATTTTATAATTATTTTCCTTAGAAAATATGTGATCAAGTCAAGAAAGTGATCAAGAATTAGCTCTCCAAACTTACTGAAAAATTAATATTTCTAAAATCACATTTTCAAAATTAATTCAAGGAGCTAAAAAGAATTATACTTATAAAATCACCAACCCATAGAAAAGGCACTGTCTTATCATTTCAAAATTTTAATCTACTCGAACCAAAGCTTTCACAACAGGCCCGTCTCCTTTGCAGAGACCACTGAGCTGCGTCCTAGAGGCAGGAGGGTTTTAGGAGCCACAGGGACAGACTCCAGCCAGACAGCCGGCCCATCACTAGGGGACTTGGGGCTTCCTGCAGCCTAGCTCCAGAATCTAGGAGTGAGGGGCCGGTAACTGCGTCTACCTCGCAGAATGGCTGTGAAGACTAAGCTATTCATATAAAATACTAAGCACAGAGCTTGACATAAAATAAGAGCAAAATAAATATTAGTTATCACTACATTATTACTATTATTAATTATATTCACATCCCCAAGTACATTACTTTCCATCCTGGCAAGTAACAAAAACTTTAAAATGCAACAAATGTCCCGACTCATACAAAGTGAGTTAATATATAGTGAATCTTCACTTAACGTTGTCAGTAGATTCTGTGACTTTAAGCAAAACGACATATAACAAAACCCGCTAATCGATATAAAGAAGAGTTAAGCCCTAAGGCTCATCAACGTGATAGCAACACAACATGGACAACACGTGAGTCGTTACTCGAGGGCCCTGTGCTCCCCAGACTCGAGAGGCTGTGCAGAGTCCCACCCAGAATCAGAGTGAGGCGCTGCGGTGGGAACGCGAGCTGGCGGGTGCGGCCGGGCCCACAGAACACAGAACATGGTGAGGAGGAGCACCATCTCTAATGCTCGTCATCACTCTAACGACTAAGCCAGACCGAAAAGGCTGGTGCAGGAAAAAAATCTTTCCGATCCAGTGGCCTCAGTAACTCCTTTCACTGCTTTAATGCCCCTTAAGATACCAAACGACAGCAGAGCTAGTGAGATGAGGTTATGAAACATGCTGACTTGGTGTTCTTCTGCTCTCATCCCGTCCAGTAAGTACCGGAGCAGCTCCTGGCTGTCTTGCTGCTGGTAGCCTTTGAAGCGCACTGCTCTACAGAAGAAAGGGAAAGACAGAGAAAGAGGGAAGTGATGATGAGTCCACTAAAATGTGAAGCTCTTTTTACAAAAGTCTTAGGATCATATCCCAAATCTCGATGTGCTCTGGTTTCTCAAAATTTCTGTTTAATCTAACAACACCCTTGGCAGATTTCACTGTCACATGAAGCACAAGTTCTTTAATCCAAATGCAATAGACGATGCTTTAATGTATGCACTGGGTTGGCCCTAGGGCTATGAATTTGCATAGAATTTCTCAGCATCTGACTTAGGCACTGAAAGCACACTCAACGCAGATACTCACTTCTTACAGACCTGGGAGAAGAGTTCCTTAGGCGTCACAATTCCCTTTGAGGTCTCTTGCATCTCACTGAGAAACTGGCTCATGGCCAAAGTAAGAGGGCCCGGAGGCTCAAGGTGAATTTCCAAGGGCTCCTGAAGACGGGAACAAAAAATACTCTCTTCATTCCAAACTAGGAATCATTTATTTTAGTGAAATGTACCTTGTTAACCTTATCCTATACTACCAATGTGCCTGATTGAGCTGTCTACTCAAAGTTCAAAATACACATCAACAGATGTAGAAAGTTTCTGGTCACAGACTGTTTTATGAAGAATTCAGTCCTACTGGTTTAGTTTTAGATGATCAGGGACTTAGAATATTTAAGAAGCAAAAGACCTAATGCAAAAGGTGAAATTCACGCGGCTACACTTTTGTACGCCCAGGGCCTCACAAACATCCACAACATTCCCAAGAAGGAAGCCGCACACGAGAGCACAGCAGGACACAGCAAAGCAGCAGCAAGAAATGGGAAGGCTCCTTATACTTTCTGTTAGTGGGAAAGTCATTAACTTGGTAGCCTAAAACACAGCAAACAAAAATGATGAAAATGAGCACTAATGCTTTAAAATAACTTAAATATGGGTATTTTATGGATATTCACAAAGGAAAATTCGTGATTATAAGTAAAATTTTAGAGTACATACTGTTAGTGCCAAGTCAGGCGGCTCAATTGTTACAATGGTTCCAGACATTTTTACTTCTTTCAGTAGTTCTCTTAGCACTGGTGTTTGTGACAAGTTCTGGAATGTAGGATGGAAAAGGAAAGTTATCTCAAGACAAATCAACCATTCGGTCCAAACACAAAGTCACTCCCCACAGTGCAGTCCCAACTCTCTGCCCAGGAAACAAGCAGCAGGTGCTCTTCTGCCCACTCTCCATGCTCATCGGCACTTCAGTTCCCGGCACAAGCAGCCCCTGGGAAAGGCATTCTCCACCACCCACCTCCACCACGGTTCTTGCAGCCCATGCACCACTGCTCTGTCCTGGGTTGGCCCGTGCCCCACACCCCCTCACCAAGGGCAAGTCCTGAGGGCAGGGGTCATGTTTGTTGTGAACCCGACTGTACCCTTCAGCAGTGTTTAACTGGCATGCAAAGTAAGCACTTCCTTGAGTTTTCTTTGAAAACATCGGAATAAATTACTTAGGGTGAAAAAGCTCAATACTGGAAGTAACAAATAGGGAGATACTTAATTTTCATAGGAGGAAAATTAACGCTGGCACCTGCATAACTGCATTGAAGAAACACGTGTTTCCCAAATTACTGAGTCCTTTCACAGTTATTTGAGAAGTATAATTCATGGAAGTTTCTTTAGCCATGTTTTCCTTTTTCTCTCTCTCTTGTTCATTTTTACTCTCCTTCTCTAATTTTTTATTTTCAAGTTCAATGCTACCATTATCTTTTGCTGCTTTAGAAAAAAAAAGAAAGAAAAAATGATTTAGCAAAATGTGTAATATAGCCACATCGAATGCAAATTTACACTGAGGACAAAGTACTAGAGTTTGTGAATTTTATCCACTATCATTATTTACCACCTGCTTTAATTTTAAATATTTTCTAATAAATATAAGTAAACTAGATTTGAGAGAGAAAAACCAATAAAATAAAATGTTCAAAACTGAGGTGAGTATTAGTTTGACAAATAAAACCAAACAGGATATGCTTTTTAGCTACAACCCCTTTGTTAATGCACAAAGTTTTCTTTGTTAATGCACAAATGAGCATATCTTACCTTGTTCAACTGGAATACAGAGCAATCAAGTAAAGAATGTAGACATGAAATAAAATTTGTAATGAATTCAAAAACGCACCCTGAAGTTAGGAACAAACAATTCTGGCTCTGCCAAAGATACTTCTGTGTCTGTAAAAACCTGCACAAACTTAAAGCTTCAGGATGCATAGCACCCAATTAATTTAATTATGTGTGAAAAATACCTGAAAAGTACCTGGCCATTTGAAGGACTTACAAGTATTTTACTTTTATATCATTCAAACAAGATTAAGTTCAGTCTAAAGCAGGTCGACTTTGCCCTAGCTGGTTTGGCTCAGTGGAGCGTTAGCCTGTGGACTGAAGGGTCTCAGGTTCGATTCCAGTCAAGGGCAACATACCTGGGTTGTGTGCTCAATCCCCAGAAGGGGGATCAATGATTCTCATCACTGATGTCTCTCTTTCCATGAAAAAAATCAAGCTAGCCCTAGCTGGTTTGGCTCTGTAGATAGAGTGTCGGCCTGCAGAGTGAAGGTCGCAGATTCTATTATGGTCAAGGGCACATACCTGGGTTGCGGGCTCGTTCCCCAGTGGATTCTTATCATTGATGTTTCTATCTCTCCCTCTCCTTTCTTCTCTGAAATCAATAAAAATATAAATTAAAAAAGTAATTTAAGTCTTAAAATAAAATAAAGCAGGTCGACCTTAAGCCCCTGTGCAGGGAGGGTATGGGAACAGGGCGTGACTGCCCCTCAATGAGGCCAGACTCTTCATCACGTGGGACGAGGTTACTTCTGATTCCCTTCTAACTCTAACACCTTAGAATTATCTATGTTTTCAGTTTTAGATCCTTAAACCAAAAATAGGTTCATAGTGTAAAGTCAACCATAATCAATATTACTCACCTATATGCAATACTGGGTAGTCCAGTAAATTAATCAAATATCAGCAGATATATAAGTCAACATTACCGTATCTATTAAGGAACCAATGATTTTTTTTACCTGATTCTGGAGCTGTAAGACGGGCTTGTTTCCTAACATAATCAACCACCTGACCCAATCGGTTTGAACTGCAATACTGGACCTCATCATCACATAGGTAACACCTGCGTCCCAAAGACCACAGAGAAAAAAGTGACAAACAACCAAAAAGGGCACAAATTATGATTCCTGGAATCCAAAGTGTATAGCCATCAAATTATTCTACTAATAAAATAAAAAAAATTAAAATAAAGCTTGTATGTTTTCTTACAGAAGACTGTCCATATTAAACTCTGGTTTACTATTAATAATATTAGCCCAAATTATGGCTACATATAAATACTGTGAAAAATACCCCAAACAAACATAGTACTTGAAACGGCTACTTATAACATTAAAGTCACAAGTTTTCTCTATGCATATTTCAAAGTACAAACCTACATCATCAAAATTAACAAATTTTATAATCTATAATAATAGAAGCATCATATGCAAATCAACCGAACGACTGAAGAGCGGAATGACCATCCAGACGACCTTCCGGACGAAGCCGAAGCCGCAAAGGCCTACTCTTGCACAAATTCGTGCTTCGGGCCTCTAGCTGTCAGATAATGTTCCGTGAACACTGCTGTGTAAGTGGTTTTTAAAGATGTGAAAATTATTGTCGTGTAAAATCATTGCCAAAGTTTTACTCTACCCTGTCGATCTGGAATTTGTTCTTGGTGTCCCAACTGTTAAAACTGGACACAACCTACCATACACTCTACAGTATCACCAGCAAGAGGAAAGGACGATGGCGCTAGTCTCCTGCACGCTACAAGTCTGTGCTAGTGCAATACTAAGGAGAACTTCTAACATCACAGGCTCCAGCCTTCTGTGAGGGGTGGCTTTGAACAAACACAAAAATGTTAACGTTCTTGCTCCTGAAACATTTCAAATGCCCCCCTTCTCCAAGAACGTCCAGCCAGGAAGCTGAAACTCACCAGACACTCCAGTTGTCCAAGCTGAGCACCAGGCAGTGGGGCTCGGACCTCGGCGTCAGGTAGTGCTTCAGAGCGTGCTGCTCCTGCGAGTTCCTGCCGCAGCCCTAGGGAACCAACAGCGTCAGTCTCAAGGCCACAGGGACTCACCCAAAGAGGAGGGAATGCATGCTGAACAGGAAGTGGCTCGAGACATTCTGCCTCTCTCATCATTTTGAAAACACAACGTTAGGCTCTAAAGAGAGTGGATGTTGTGAAAACCCAGGCGTGGAGAAAACCACCCAGTAAGAGTGCTCCCTCCCCGCTGCCTGCCCTCCAGTCCCCACCAAGCTGTGCCAATGCAGCCATTCACTGAGTGGGTCTGGACTCCGTACCGGCTTCCTAAATAGTATTTTCCTAACTTCAACCCCTTTGTTCACATGCTATCTTTTCAGTTTCATGTTCATAGAACAAAGCTCTGTTCATATACTTAACTCAAAAATTATAAGTTGCTCTTAAACTCCTCGTCAACAACCCTGACACCCTCTGACCAAACCTAGCTCTCCAGGGTTAAGTCCATCCTCTGTCCACGGACGTCTACCAGCCAACACGCTCGGCACCTTCCCAACCAACAGCATCTTGTTCCCGTGACTCCCTTCACAGAATCCTTTACCGCCACTGCCTCTGTCAACTCCCACCCCGTCTCCAGGATCCCGCTCCAAGGCCACCTCCCTCAGAAGAATTGTGCTTGTCCTCCCAGAGGAAAAATATTACGATCTCCCAGTGAACACTCTCCTGCCAAATATGGTGTAAATCCTGGTGGCCTTCCTTACTTTCCACCTTATGTTAAAGGTGCTAATGTTTATGTCCATCCTCCCCTGAACTGTAAATCTCGAAGGCACAAGAAATGAGTTAGTCTTTCTATTATCAAAATTATCTAGAAAATGGAAAGTCAATAGCATTAACTGAACAAATGAGATTGTTTTTTATGGTCCCAAACTCAAACTTTTCTTTTTCTTTTTCTTCTTTATTGTTGAAAGTACTACAGATGTCCCCCTTACTTCCTCTCACTGACCCCTCCATCCCACACCCTCCAGGCCTACCACACTGCTCTCTATGTCCACGGGCTGTGCACATAAGCAAGTAAATGAGAGATTTTTACCCACAAGATCTAAAGTCTTACTCGTAAAAGGACAGGCGTTTCCTGCCTGCAGCTGGTTGAGTCGCTGCTAAGAAAGCCACGTGGACTGTGCACCTGCCTGCACCAGGCCAGCTCCCACGGACAGCACTGCAGCGATGGGTCCTGGTCCCAGTGCAGCTAAAAATATACCCTGGAGGGGAACTATTTGTCAGTGGCTTCTAACCCTGTAACTATGATATAAGACACTACTGATCTAGTTTATCCCACTCAACATTTAATTCTAAAATGAATTAAATCTGACATTGATTTTGTTAGTATCACCATCGGAAATCAACTGAAACACAAGAATGAAAGAGTTGTCTTAAGACAGCAGCTGAGAATCACAGTGCAAAAGAGAACTACAGTGGGCAAAAGTAATAGTTAATACTGACTGGGAATTTAAAAGGCAGCAAAATAAATAAAATATATAATAAATTTAAAGTAGCAAAATATATTCCTGCTCACCATATGTATTTAAGAGGTTCAATGAAAACCTTTCAAGTACAAATAAATGTGTTCTTTGCTAACAATCTTTAGAAATTGTCTGACCATGATGGGACAGCACCATTTACCTATCAGAAAGGCTAAAGAAGAAAACACTGCGATAATACTAAATACTGCCCGGACGCGGAGGAAGTGCACCCCTCGCGCAGGGGCAGGAACATGGAGTGGCACAGCTGTACTGGGGGACAGTTAAGTACCATGTGGCCCAGCCACTGGCTCCTGAGCATACTTCCCAGAGAAATGAATTTTTAAATCCACATAAATACTGGTACACAGCGTTTATAGCAATTTTACTCCTAACTGCCAAAAATGGGACCAGCCCAGACATCCTGCAAAAGGTGCGCAGTTATAAGCAAGCAGCAACAGTTAAACCACCCACCACCACTCAGCAATGAGAACAGACTTATGATACACAACCTGGATGAATCTTTGGTGCTTATGTAAGAGAAAAACCAGTCCCAAAATGTTATATACTAGATGGTTTCATTTATATAACATTTTTTAATGTTTTTATTGATTTTTAGTGAGAGAGGAAGGGACAGCGAGAGATAGAAACATTGATGAGAAACATCATTGACCAGCTGCCTCCTGCATGCCCCCTACTGGGGATCGAGCCCACAACCCGGGCATGTGCCCTGATCTGGAATCAAACCAGTGAGCTCTTGGTTCATGGGTTGAAGCTCAACCACTAAGCCACACCAGCCAGGCTGTATAGCATTTTATTTTAAATGTTGACAACAGAGTAACTTTTATTTTATTTACTTATTATTATTTTGTTGTTGTTAATCCTTACCCGAGGATATTTTTCCATTGGTTTCTGGGGAGAGTGGAAGAGAGAGTGAAAGACAGAAACACTGATGTGAGAGAAACACATCATCAATTGGTTGCCTCCTGCATGAACCCTGACCACTGTCCGGGCCAAGGAGGAGCCTACAACCAAAGTACATCACCTTGACCAGAATGGAACCCAGGATTCTTTGGTCCACAGGCTGACGCTCTATCCACTGAGCCAAACTGGCAAGGGCTGCACAGCATTTTTTAAATGATAAAATTTTAGAAATGGAGAACCGACTAGTAGTTGCTTGGGGTTGAGGGGAGGGACAGGAGGAGGGAAGGGTGTGGTTATAAAAAGACAAAGAAAAGATCCAGGTGATATTGGAATCATTCAGTGTTGTCTTTTTTTTTAAACTTTTAAATATATATATATTTCTATTGATTTCAGAGTAAAAGGGAGAGGGAGAGATAGAAATATCAATGATGAGAGTGAATCATTGATCGGCCACTTCCTGCACGTCCCCTACTTTGGATCAAACCCAAAACCTGGGCATGTGCCCTGTGACCTCATGGTTCATAGGTTATCGCTCAACTACTGACGAACACCGGCCAGGCCCATTCAGCATCTTAACTGTTGTGGTGGATACAGAGGTCTCTCCAAAAAAAGAACTCAGGAGATCTGATTAAGATTGATGGATCATATCAACATTAATATGCTGGTTATAATACTGTATTAGTTTTGTTAAAACGTTACCACTGGGAGACACTGGGCAAAGTGTACAGAGGTATCTCTGTATTATCTCTCATACTGCATTTGAGTTTATAATTATCTCAGTAAAATTTCAGCTGAAAAGAAATTGAAAAACAAAGGTCTGTGCTCATCTTCAAGCTTCATGGCAGGCCTGGCTCGCAGCCCGTTCCTAGCTGACACAGGTGACTATGAGACACTGACCTCTAGTGCGTGCAAACCTGGGAGCTGTTCGGCCGCCCAGATACCCCCACCCACAAGACCAAGGTGCTCCCTTCTCCCAGCTGACAGCTCACAGCTCGGTCTGTCCATCCTCAGGAATTATCCCGAGGAAGGCAGCTGGCTTGGCTAAGGGTGGCCCCCACCCGACCTGTCCCACATCCAAGGACTGGTCTATGCACAGGTACCAAGACCACGGCTCATCCTGAGGCTAGGTGAGGCCCTGCAGGTCTGCCTCTTTGCTCTCCCTCCGCCTAATCCTGCCTCCCTCAGTTTTCCTGGTGAAGCACAGTGCAAACACACCCCAGGAAACCACCTAAATCTCACAAACCTCAGTCCAGGCCCCTGCTCCCTAGGGCACATGGCCTATGCGAGCTGGCATCCTGCTCACCATCCTGTACTTAGGTAACACCTTCTACAAGGTCAGTTTGTGCAATCCCACACTGATCACACCAAGCATACCTGATGGCCACACTTAAGACACAGCCAAACGGGAGGGGTTTCTCCTGTTTCTTCTTCAGGTTTGTCTTTCACTTTATTGTCTGTCTTACAGTCTTGGCAAACATTCCATTCCACATTCACTAACGCCTTTTTCAGAATACTTTGTTCCAGTCCTTTTCTAATGTGCCTGCACACAGGTTCTATGAAAACAAGTAACACACGAGTGATGAGGTAAATACAACTTTCTCAGAGAATCACAAAGTTTACCTGTCATTTGAACTTCAAATATGAACTTACTAGGTACAAACTGTTAGATAATCTGAATATTAGTTGATTACGTGAGAAATCTGGAATTTTGCTATTTTTGTAGTCCTAAATACATTCACTCTCTCTCCCCCTCTCCCTTCCTCTCTGAAATCAATAAAATATATTTTAAAAATAATTTTTAACGGATCAAAGTGTACATTATTGTTCTGTAATTTGCATCTCTTTTTTTAAAATTGATTTCAGAGAGAAACATCAATGATGAGAGAGAATCATTGATTGGCTGCCTCCTGCAAGCCCCCTAGTGGAGATGGAGCACACAACTGGGGCCTGTGCCCTTGACTTGAATTGAACCTAGGATCCTTCAGTCTTCAGGCCGACGCTCTATCCAATGAGCCAAACTAGTTAGGGCAATCCCATTTTTACACATTAAAAAATGTCCATTTACAGACATAAAATCACTTTAAAGGTTCAATTGGTGAAATATACCTAAAGATTCAGAAGAATCATCAACTGGAACAATTTTTCCCTTTATCCGTTTCTTTCCCATGTTGGCACTTCATGGATTACTTCCCGACACAAAATAATAATCTAGGAAACAAGATAAAATTAGCTTGATTAAAAAAAGTTCATTTATGCTTTTCTGAGACAGTAAGAGAACTCAGCCACAGGTAACACTTTACATGTTTATCACACACTATAATTTATAAAGACCATTCACATATATCATGTAGTTCTCAATAAAAACTGTGAAGTAGAGAGAATAAATAGTACTACACCAGTTTCCTAGCTTAGGAAACAGATTCTTAGTCAGGTTAAGAGGTTTTCAATAAATGTGAAGGTCAGGAGAGAACCCAGGTCTTCTTACCAAGACCTGAAGTCTCAGCACGTGACACCATTTGGATTCAACTTCTCACTAAGCACATGTGGAATGCTGGTGGCACGCAAACGATGTCCTTCCCTTCTAAGTTGCCTTTCTTCCTTTATTTAAAATATATTTTTACTGATTTCAGAGACGAAGGAAGAGGGGGAGAAAGAGATAGACACATCAATGATGAGAGCGAATCATTGACTGGCTGCCTCCTGCACGCCCCACACTGGGAATGGAGCCCGTAATCCAGACATGTACCCTGACAGGGATTTGAACTGTGACCTCCTGGTTCATTGCTTGATGCTCAACCACCGAGCCACACTGGCCAGGCTAAGCTTCCTTTCTTAGCTCTGAGAAATAAAATTGATAATTTCTATGCAAATAAAATTGATAATTTCTCTAAGAAAAATTATAAATAATTCTGAAAACAAACTATTAAAGGGAGTTAGAAAATTTGCAAAATAATTACCAGGCCAAATACAAAACAATGATACATTGTTCAGCATTTTCCACACCAGGATTTCCTATATGAATACTACCCTATATGGATATTATATGATAATTTATTATAATTACATTGTCAAATATTTATATACTAGTGGCCCGGTACATGAAATTCAAGCACGTTAAAAGGGAATTAATTAGAGGAAATATTTTAATATTGCTATTTGCCCTTTCTCTATAATAGAAGTGTCAGAGATGAAAGAAAACGAGTAAAATATGTAAGACAATCACCCTCCTGCTAAAGTCTGGGGCATGCCATGGGACCCAGAGTCAAGTTCCCATCCACCCATGTGCACCTCGAAATCGTGGGAGACCCAGACCCGGCTGGCCTCATCCCCATCAAGCCCCACAGGGTGGGGGGCACAGCCTCAGGTCCCCCTCAAGCGCTGCTGGGAGGGGGCCCGGCCTCAGGTCCCCCAGCCCCAGGGAGAGGACCATTTGCATATTAGCTCTTTATTATATAGGATTCATATTATAAAGTCAGTTTGGAATACTAGGGCAAATCTAGCTGCACATCAGGTCTGCACCTCCTTAGGCAACAATGCAAACTTAGTAAATATGAAAAGTGCTGAAAGTACATACAGGTCTATATAATTTTAAATAATAGTAATGATTTTGAAAAGTTGCATTTACAATAGCTTAGTGTCAAAATCACTGAATATCTGACATGGCATGCTTACTAGAATTCTGATTACATTAGTGGAGAGTAAGACTTGGGACATATGTTTAATTCTGCTACTTAGCTGTCACCATGTCTTACTGGGTTAGTGTAATTAAAGGTAATTCAAAAGGCCTGTACGAAAAATTAGTACATCAAGTAATTGTTAACCTTTACAAAGATAATCTAAAATGTAACAAGTTTACAAAGCAAATAAACTAACAAAAGAATACAAAGTATATAGGTATATATAATACAAGGTATATTTTATGTATGCTTTCTTGCCCTCAAGATAACATTTAACATAACTTACCTAGAACTGTAGATGCTAGGGGGAAAAATAGCACTCAAGTTCTTGCCTCCAGTCACACTCCCTCTAACCCGCTGCATTCTGCACCAGAAACATCTTCCCAGGACGCCATTCCCATCACATCCCCCTCCTGACTGACAGCATTCAACAGGCCCCTGTCCGCATTCCCGGGCCTGCACCAGGTCCTTCACAAGCTGTCCCCAACGCTCTGCAGTCCTGACCCTCACGGCTTCTCAAGTTCAATCCCATGGTGCTCTGCTCTCAAAGCCTTTTCAGGACCACCATCTCATTGGCGTCCACAACTCTGCACACGGGGCATTTCACTGAAGGAGGAAACTCAAAAACAAGATGACGAAGGGCCACAGGGCGTCCGAGATGGAACCCAGGGCGGACCCTTCTCCCCCGTCAGTCCCTGGGGCCCGCCGCTCCAAACTCCTCCCTGACCGCGAGCTGGGGCATCCTCCACCGGGACGTGTGCAATTTCTCCGCCCGGGACCTAAAGCTCTGGGAAAAGGAGCGGTTTTCGGCATCGCCTCCGAATTGCCCAAAACAGTGTTAGCAGGTCCTCAAGCAACACTTGGCGCATGGAAATACCTGGCGCACTAGGGCTGATTACAAGGTGCAGAGGTACGTACAAGAGAAGGAAGCAGCCAGTGGAGGAGGTGGCGTCCGCCGGCGACGGCCGCGCTCTCGGAACTGCCTGGAGGGAAACCCGAGGATGAGCTGCGCCTGGACCGTGCGGGTCCCGCCTTCAATGCAGCAGAAACAGCCCCAGTGACATTCTGACATCTGAGCGGGGCCTCTAATGAGTCAGGAGGAGGCGGCACCGGGTGCCAGCTGTAAAACATCAAGAAACCTCAGTCAGCGCGGCCGGTGTGGCTCGGGGTTGAGCGCCGACCTGGGAGGTCAGGGTTCAATTCCCGGTCAGGGCACAGGCCCGGGTGTAGGGCGTGCAGGAGGCAGCCGGTCCGTGATTCCCTCCCGTCATGGATGCTTCTCTCTCCCACTTCCTTCTTCTCTAAAATCAATAAGATCAATAAAAACACATTTCTCTAAAAAGCATGGAAGCATCTGAACTGCTGTCAGCAGGTCTGGACCGTGGCGCCGAGTTTGGGGTCCGACCCTGGAGCGGGTCTCCGAGGTGACGGCCCG